AAAAAAAAATAAAGGGTCCATCTGAAGCTTAAAAGTCAAGAAATAAAGAAGCATTGCATGTCAGGTCCATGGAGAACTTGAAAATTTATTCTGATTTAACCAATATATTTAACTCTCTCCAAGGCTGGGTCTTTGTTTCATAGTCAAGTCATTAGACTCTACCCTTGGCAATATTTTCTCAGCCCCCGGCTCTGAATTTTGTTATTTATTTCCCTTTCTGCCACATAGAAATAGAGACTTAATAAAAGCATATTTTATTTCCAATCTGCTATTTCATGGTTCTTGCTCTGATAATAATTACTTCTCTTTATTGCAAAACAATTTCTTTTTTCAAAGGCATGCCTCTTGAATGGCCATATTTATGTGCTGACTCTTCCCTAAACAATAGCAAACTTCACTTTAGCGTTTCCAGCTCCTCTCGGTGAATGGGGGACAAGGATGGATTGAATGATTGATGGTCTTCATTGGTGAACGAGGCTCCTGGCTTAACTCCTTTAGGCCTGAGCTGAACAGCCTAAGCAAAAGTGGAGGGTTGATAAATTACCAAAATAGTATTGCCCAAGTTATTCATGAAGCCCTACAACCTTAACATGATCTGAGGACAGAGGAAAAATGCTGGTATGATTCCATGAAGAAAAATCAAGTTCAGGGTCTCATTCTCATCTGAAACAGAATAATGTCCTTCTTTACCATCTCCTTTGGAAAACACCTGTGGTTAACACAAGGTCAAGGCTAGGTTCCACTAGACCCTATAACATCTTTTGTAAACACCGGTAAAATATAAATTCATTCTTCATTTGATGTCAAACAAATGTTAATTGTGTTGACCTGCCTTCATGAAGAAATGAGTATATAAGAGAATTAAGATCAGCAATTTGACCTCAGGTCATCTAGGTAGGAAATGGCCAAGCCAAATTTCAATGCATTTTAAGGATCCTAGTACATAAGGATGTTGTGCCAAAAGGTTAAGAATTAAAAGAGAAAGTTCAGGACATGATATTTACTTGGAACTTTTGCTATTTTATAATTCCTAAAACAATCCTTAATTCACGCAGTCTCTACACACAGTAGTTAAATTTGTTTTCAACTGATATTCCTTTTATTTTCTCTAGTGTCCCCTTAGTTGGCCATCCAGTAATATCTTCAGTCTCTTATCCTTGAATTTTTCTGTCAAGGATTTTGAACAAAAAAAAAGAACAGATCAAATAGGAACAAAAGGACATCTCAAGGATGGTCCGTGGAAGAAGATGGAAGTCACGTCAGATCACCATGAAGTTATATTTTACTTTCCTGTAATTTTATTGTTATGAAGATACATACAAACATGAGTTTGGAACCCCATTTAAGAGAAGCCATATTAGATTTCTCTGTCTCTAGCCAAAATTTTTCTTGATAGCCTTACCTCATGAATCGAACAGAAGTCTTTTCCCTTTTTAATAACATTCATTGAATCCCAACACTGGAACAATCATTGCAGAAATTACTTGGACCATGTTTGCCTTATCTCTTGTTGGTAAGGCAAGGTGTAGAGCATTATACTTGCCTTCGGTTATAACAATAACAGCATTGAGAGGGCCTGGTGCCCTACCTTGAAAAATCAGAACTCACCTATGTCAAATACTTTATTACATGCAGTTAAGAATATTTCTCTAAAGAAAAAAAAAACAACTCTAGTTCATATTCCTGTGATCCCATTTAATTGGAAATCTATTCAGCTAATCAAACTTAATTCTCCCACTGAATTCCATATCTGTGTAGATGGCCTCAAGCTTTGCTGCCCCCCAGTGACCTTCAAATCATGGGATCAACTTACATTTTCTGCTTTCCACTTACACTATGGACCTCAGAATCCTCCTCCTCACTACCATTTATCCTTACTGTTTTCTCCAAGAGACTCATGGGTCCAGTTGTAGCTATCTTCAGGCTGCCATATTGTCACCAGAAGGATCTCCTTAAACTGTGATTGTGGGGTGGTGGTGTGCAGCCAGACCCGCAGATCTCGCTTAGTCAGGATACTACATCTCCGATATTGTTAGAGGTCCCCTACCCAGCTTCTTTTTGCAGAAATCACTAGCTCTGTGACCCCATGTGGGGCTCCGGGACCTCATTGTTGGAGTAGGACACCTGGTGTGGGAGCAGGACCCAAAGCCGGAAGTTCCAGTCCATGCAAGACTCCAGAAGCGCCTTAGCAGAATCACCTATCTACACATCTGCAGACCGCCAAGACTT